GCCCCAGCATACGAAATTTTCAGGATACGACATGAAATTCGAACATATTTTTGCTCCACGATACGAACAAAAACTCACCATACGACGTTACATTAGTTCGCATTTTTCATTTGTTTTTCTTACTACAGTTATTTTTTTTAATGTATTACTTGGCTTTAATTTGAGTATGTTTTTCACGTTGGAATGAATTATTTGGTTTTACATGTAATCATATGGGAAAAGATGATCCACCTTACGACATTTTCATGATACGATCTCAGTTTCAGAACGGATTAATTTCGTATCCTGAGGTACCACTGTACAACTTTAAATCACATGATTTTTTTCTGTAAAAACTTAATTATAGGTAGGTTCAAATGTGCCATGAGATAAAAAATGGTGAAAAACACTGCTTTAGAAAGTGGCATTATAAAAACTGGCTTGCCTACAGCATCAATCATAACCTAACTGAAAACCTTTAGGATGAACTGGAGTACTAGATCTAAACCAGATCATGAAGTAGCTGAAAGATGTATTGAAGACAGAATGTCAGAATACACCAACAAGAGTCCTTCATAAACTGGAGGAAAGTATGTCTCATAGGATCAACACCATTCTAAAAGTGAAAGGTGGACATACAGAGTATTAGCGTGCATACAGGGTAAACATTTCTAATGGAGATATTACCTACCAAAAAATCATTTTACACAATCAGTTTAATATTAACAAGCAATTATTTATTGTGACATCATCACAATGCCAGGCTGCAATTTTTAATCATATTTTTAATTTATTTAATTTAAAATATATGCTCTCCACCTCAAATTAGTAGTGTCTTGCCCTTATACACCATACTTTTCCTTTAACAACAGAATCATGCCAGTCAACTGTCTAGCTCCTTTCAGGAAAAATTTTTGAACTGAAATAACATGACTCAGTTTGCATTGAAAGTTTGTATAGAATTAATCAAGGCTTCCTGCCCCTCAGCTTTCCATATCTGTTCTCAGATTTCATCTATATAAGTCCACTCTAGAGATTAAAGAAGGACACACAAATGGACAATAGTGGGAATTTATAAGTCTACAATTTTTTCAAATTGCAGCCCATAAATAGTATCTTCAATTTTCACAGATATCTAATAACAATGTAAAATTACATATCCTTGTCAATATTTGTACAGTAATACCTCGACTTACGCTACCCCAACTTACGCAAACCCGGAGTTACGCGATTTTCAAATCTCATCAATTCGTCTTTTGTTTGAGCGCCACGCAACTCTTGATTACTCATTCCCCCCACACTATTGTTTAGCTTACATATTTGGACGTGTAGCGCGGAATAGACACATAGCTACAATTTATTTTGTGTTATTTATTTCTGTGTTTGTTATATCTACGGAGACTTGAGAGACTCTATGTGGTGATTTCTTGTAACCGTGAACGAATCAAAGGACGAGATAACATTAACGAGAACATTTATTAGCTTACATACATCCGACTTGGATTTTACACAAATTGCGAAATTATACCCTGACTTACGCGAATTCGAATTACGCGGTCATCGCTTGGTCCCACCTATCGCGTAAGTTCGGGGTATTACTGTATTTATTTCTAACTATATGATCAAGGCTTAAAAAATATTTCATACTGTTATGGGAGGCACAAAATATACAAAAATATAATACAAATGCAAGGTTCCAGACAGAGTCTGGATCTCTTGTTAAATGTGCCAAAAAGATAGTTTAATATACAGTAGAAAAGAAAATGTGTAAAAAAAAAAATTAAGACAAAATGACACAAGTGCAAATGATCTACATCCTGAGTGGGACTCAAGCACACATGCTGTCCCACTCAGAATCAATGTCAGACCAGTGAGTTCAAACTTTGATTCTGATATTTTTTTAGAGAACCGGGCATTTGGCAAAATAACTTATATTCAGAAATTTTTCAAGCAAATTTTAAAAATATTTTATCAATATAATATAGTATCCTGGACAAAAAAATTGAGTAGAACAAGTATTATATAAAACAAAAATACCAACAATAGAAGAAAATAAAATTAATGAATTATTTTTGTGATTGTCAAGAGCCATCAACCCATATCAGAGATTCAGGAAGGGAATTACGTGAAAGAATCAAGAAACATGTTAGAGCAATAAAATACAGTCGACCCCCTATAACACGGTAGATATGTTCCTGTTTTTATGAATCCAGCTTCTAGGAAGTCCAGACAATCACAGCCCGGCACATATGCAGTTTATGGACTACGGCTGTTTGAGAGGTTTCTTCCATAAAATTAATCGATTCTAGACTAATTCGACTCAACATTTCCAAAATACATATAATTTTTTGGGAATAATCCATATAAACTATGCTATAAACAAAATATTGTAGGATTACTTACAGAGTGTGCACCGTTTGACTATGCCGTTGCTTAAACTTGTTTTCGTCATGGAGATTGTCATTGAATGGCGTTTGTGTGCTTTCTGATAATTTATTTTTTTTGCAAAAAATTCGCTGAACTTTAGAGACATCATTAATATAAATATAATTTTTATGGATGTTAAATAATAAATGGTTTTTGGTAGGTCCGCTGCTTGTTTAAACTCAACGGTTTGTGCAATCTTGTCGCGACACGAGTCGGCGATGATGTTTTACCAAATTATAGGAGTTTTTTTAGCATGTTTGTACGAATACTGTTGCAATTTTTTTGCTGTGATATAGGAATCCGAACTATAGGAACCAGTGTTATAGGGAGGTCGCCTGTACTGCATAATAGATATTGATTTTCACAAAATTAATAAAAAAATAAATCTATCTGGAATATGATTAAATAAACTTACAAGAAAAATTAGGATAAGTTAGAAGAAGACTTCTTATAATCAATTCTGAAATTAGTATTAGCCACTAAACTGGCAGTTTTTTAAAAGGTAAAGAATTTTCAATGCATTGATGTGCGTGAAATGTTGATTATATGAAATCTGAATGTCATATAAATAACATTTTTACTGTTGCAAATGTTTTAAAATTGAAGTTATAGTTGAATTTATATGTTATTCAATAGATCTTACTTTTCTATAATAGTTTACAAACTAAAAATTTCAACAAATATTTCTAAAATATAGTTTCATTTATTTATTTTTGTATATATATGACCAAATAAAAATTTATATAACAGTACACTAGTATGTAATAAAACAAACAAAAATAGTTTACTATACTATGTGATTTCTACAAATAATATCACCAAAGAAAAGACAGTTAGATCTATTATGACCATACTTTGGAATTGATTCTTATCAATAATAAATCTTTATATCTAAATCTATATATTAGATTGGCCAAAAAGTTTGTGCAGTTTTTCACAATGTAAATATAAAGCAATGTTTTTTTAAATGGAAGGAAATATCTTCATTCAGTAGTGCAATTTTCCTTGTTGTGTAACAAGTATTATAGTCAATTAAACACTTCACTGTCATCGTGAATTTTCCATTGCTCACCAGAGTGTGGTGCATCTTGGAGTTAAAATCTACAGAACAAAATTTTGTAAATCACTTCTTGCACAGATATTCTTTGATGGCATTCTCCCTGTACACCTTGCATAACTTTTAACAGGTTTGTGCTGTATTTTTTCTTTTTTGAAATAAAACAGTAGTATATGTCAAAAATATTCCTTTTGGATGCAGACTTTTAAAATTATTCCAAAATTATAAAACAAACCCAATCTTCAAACTTTTTGTTTGAATGCTGTATAGTTTAATATTAGCTATCAAATAAACCATATGCTTTCAAGATTTGAACCAAAGTTATGTTTCAAAGCATCTGAAGATAACTACCACAAAAACCACACAAACTTTCTGGACAACTAAATGCAATGGCCTGTCACTGATATCACTAAAAAAGTTCACATAGTCAAAGCCTTATCCCCCTTCTTTCTACTGTATACAGTGATGTAGTTTTCACAACTCCTCTCCCTTTATGCCATACATTAATGGCCAGCATCTTATAAATTCAATCATATCTTAAGTGAAGGTTTTCTTATACATAATAAAAATGTTATAATGATTTTAAATAATTGCATCATTTTCAGATTAAAATATANGTTTCAATGAGTGTGAGTTCATTCACTGTTAAAATAGTGTAAATTTGTAAACATATTTGCGAGAACTTTGTTTTATCGCAATTTCACAATTTCTACGAAATTCCCGGACTGTCCGGTTGAAAACCGAACAGGTGGTAACATTAGGAACAAAGAATGAACTGCATGCATGGATGAATCGAAATTCACATATTGCTAACATCGATTCAGGATTGATGTTTCAAAAACATCGGAAGGTCGATGCATCGACGAACAAAAACATCGATGTATCGATGTCACATCGATGCATCGCACAGCACTAATAGCAAGAGATGACGTTTTTAGCAGAGGAAAGGAGGGTATTATGGAATAGTCCGAAAATATGGAAAACCGAGGTTTCGGCTCTGTTTGTTGCTGCTATTAGGCTACGTGGGAATACCATGAACTACTCAAGAAAGACTCCCACGATGCAGTGCATTGAGAGTTGACCGCTTGTTGTTGTCGTACCACTCGCTACAGAACAAAGTGTGTTTTGTGATTTTCAAGAGTTTTTGCAGGCAAGTTTTAAAACATTTTAACCTACTAGTACACATGTGACTTGAACATTGATGTTAAGGATAAAGTACACTAAAAGAATTGTATTTTGTTATAATGTAGTTGTTTTTTAGCTGACAATGTTTTTGTCCATCAGTTTAAAGGTTCATTTTCCAAGATGGCGTGTCGGGTATTATGGAATACTAGGATAAATGGATAAACTGAAAGAAAAGGTCAAAAAGAAGGAACCAGAAGCTTCAAAACAACAAAAGAAACCGAACATTCAAAGACCACCTGTTAAGAAATTAAACTTAGACCGACCTTATAGACCTAAACCTACAAGAGATGACTCTAGTGTTAGCAGCGATGAATCGTTCCATTCTGATGTATCATCTGTAATGGACTTCATGCCATCAACTAAAGTACCAGTAAACGAAGACGCTGAATGTATCTTCTGTAACGGAAAATTCTCCAAAGATGAAAGAGGGAAAATTTGGATTCAATGCTTCAGCTGTTCTCTGTGGGCTTACCTTGATTGTGCGTACCGGAGCAGAGAAAGAAAATTATATCTGTGACTTTTGGTAAATAGACTCGAAGCAGGAATGACATGCACATAATCTTAAAAATATGGTTTTTATAGTTAAGAATAATTATGTTTTATGAAGTCTAATTTTTAAATGGTTTAAACCACCTATTCCATATTACCCGACTATTCCATATTACCCTCCATTTGTGTGTTTTTTTTAAACACATTTTTTTTTATAACAACAAAATAAATAGTATTTTTTTTGTTACAAGTGACAGTTCATTACAATTAGTTATAGAATGTACTCATGATGATTATGGGATTTTTATTAAAAAACCAGTAAAGTTATTTTTAGAAATGTAAATGGTATTCCATAATACCCTCCTCTCTTCTATATATATTTTTAAACATTTTCCCCCGTGGATACTAAGAGGGCCTTTTTTTAGCAAGCCCATTATGAGTCGGCCAGGCCCACAATGGGTGAGAGTGGTGAGGGACGGGAAAGGACATGTTCAGATGGACCACCCCACCGAAAAATCCTTGGGAATTTTCGACCCGTCTGAACTCGATCCCGGGTTCCGCAGAGCGGTAGGCTGCCATCCAGACGTCAACTGTGTTGCTGCTTGTTTGAAATAAGTTTAAGGATTCTTGGCTCTTTTCCACAAAGGACGAAATCGTACTCACATTATTGATTTATTGGACTGCAATTTTCAAAAATTGTAGATCTATAAATTCTTACTGGCGTCTGTCTGTCCTTGTTCTTCCTTAATCTCGAGAACAGAGTTAGATACAGTAGATGAAAACCTAGATTAGATATGGAAAGCTTAGGTGCTCCCGATTATATACTATATATTATTGAGCTCCCGAATTATATACTATATATTATTGAGCTCCCGAATTATATACTAACTTCCAGTTTGCAGCAGAAATCATGTTATTTCAATTCAAAAATTTTCCCTTGAAAGAAGTTAGATAGATGCATGGCACGACTCTATTGCTAACAGAAAAAGTATGGCATACAGAGGCAACACATTTCTAATTTGAGGTCAAAAACAGAGCAGGCCCTACCATAGGGCGAACGGAGCATCCGCTCCAGGCGCTAAGTCCTAGGGGCGCCTCAGTGGTAAAGAAAATTAAAGGGTAAAAATTAGGGGCAACCAAGGGGGGCGCCATAATAGGATCTCGCTCCATCCTAAAACTTGCCTCGGACCGGCACTGGTCAAAAACATACATTTTAAATCAAATAAATTAAAAATATAATTAAAAATTGCAGCCCGGGATTGTGACGATGTCACAATAAATAATTGCTCGTTTACATTATTTAACAGTCATTTCGTATTTAGTTTCAGATCGCAATAAAATTGAGCGAGAAAAAGCAACCAAGCATTTTACATTTATTTCGTAACACTTTGCGTAACCGTGAGTTGATCAGTATCCAAATTTCTCCACAGATCACCGGTTGGCGACTGCTGTTATAGACTATTCGTAAGAAAAAATTTCGTGACGATTCAAACCCTCGTCATGGGCCAACCATCCAATTCCCATTTGCTTCGCTCAATCCAACCGTGAATCCAGTTCGTTTTTTCGTACGTACTAACATTACTCGCTCACTTCAAGGGCTTCGTCACTTCATATTCAGTAAAGACTGTTCATAAAAAAAAATCATGACGATTCATCGATTCTCAGAGCCGCTACCTCAATTATTTTTCGTGACGATTTTAAGCTAAGCATTTTATAGAAAGAATAATAAAAATAACTTAGCAATTTGTTTCAGTAAAATAACGAATTGTAATTATATCAAAGGCATTGATCCTGAAATGATTTATTAAATAGAATTTCTGTTAGCAGCAGATGACAACAGGAAAAAATTGCTGATTGTTTTTTCTATTGATAGCTCTTAATAAAAATTAACTTTAATGGCTTTTTTCCCCCTTTTCTTCCAAGTTAAATATATCATGTTAAACTTAAAGTGTTTATAGGCAGTTTTTCCAACAAGATTGTTATCTATCTGTCGTTTTTGGCTCTTGTGGATGAAATTATTTTTATCCATTCAAAGAACGTTACGTAGTGCTTTTTCTCTTCATAAATCCGGATGAATTTAAATAGGCTTTTTCGTCATTTAAACAATAATTTTAAAACATTTGAAATAAGGGAAAACAAATTTCGATCAAGTTCGATTTTTAAATAACTTTATAATTACATAACAGGGTTTTTTNATTGTAGGATTACTTACAGAGTGTGCACCGTTTGACTATGCCGTTGCTTAAACTTGTTTTCGTCATGGAGATTGTCATTGAATGGCGTTTGTGTGCTTTCTGATAATTTATTTTTTTTGCAAAAAATTCGCTGAACTTTAGAGACATCATTAATATAAATATAATTTTTATGGATGTTAAATAATAAATGGTTTTTGGTAGGTCCGCTGCTTGTTTAAACTCAACGGTTTGTGCAATCTTGTCGCGACACGAGTCGGCGATGATGTTTTACCAAATTATAGGAGTTTTTTTAGCATGTTTGTACGAATACTGTTGCAATTTTTTTGCTGTGATATAGGAATCCGAACTATAGGAACCAGTGTTATAGGGAGGTCGCCTGTACTGCATAATAGATATTGATTTTCACAAAATTAATAAAAAAATAAATCTATCTGGAATATGATTAAATAAACTTACAAGAAAAATTAGGATAAGTTAGAAGAAGACTTCTTATAATCAATTCTGAAATTAGTATTAGCCACTAAACTGGCAGTTTTTTAAAAGGTAAAGAATTTTCAATGCATTGATGTGCGTGAAATGTTGATTATATGAAATCTGAATGTCATATAAATAACATTTTTACTGTTGCAAATGTTTTAAAATTGAAGTTATAGTTGAATTTATATGTTATTCAATAGATCTTACTTTTCTATAATAGTTTACAAACTAAAAATTTCAACAAATATTTCTAAAATATAGTTTCATTTATTTATTTTTGTATATATATGACCAAATAAAAATTTATATAACAGTACACTAGTATGTAATAAAACAAACAAAAATAGTTTACTATACTATGTGATTTCTACAAATAATATCACCAAAGAAAAGACAGTTAGATCTATTATGACCATACTTTGGAATTGATTCTTATCAATAATAAATCTTTATATCTAAATCTATATATTAGATTGGCCAAAAAGTTTGTGCAGTTTTTCACAATGTAAATATAAAGCAATGTTTTTTTAAATGGAAGGAAATATCTTCATTCAGTAGTGCAATTTTCCTTGTTGTGTAACAAGTATTATAGTCAATTAAACACTTCACTGTCATCGTGAATTTTCCATTGCTCACCAGAGTGTGGTGCATCTTGGAGTTAAAATCTACAGAACAAAATTTTGTAAATCACTTCTTGCACAGATATTCTTTGATGGCATTCTCCCTGTACACCTTGCATAACTTTTAACAGGTTTGTGCTGTATTTTTTCTTTTTTGAAATAAAACAGTAGTATATGTCAAAAATATTCCTTTTGGATGCAGACTTTTAAAATTATTCCAAAATTATAAAACAAACCCAATCTTCAAACTTTTTGTTTGAATGCTGTATAGTTTAATATTAGCTATCAAATAAACCATATGCTTTCAAGATTTGAACCAAAGTTATGTTTCAAAGCATCTGAAGATAACTACCACAAAAACCACACAAACTTTCTGGACAACTAAATGCAATGGCCTGTCACTGATATCACTAAAAAAGTTCACATAGTCAAAGCCTTATCCCCCTTCTTTCTACTGTATACAGTGATGTAGTTTTCACAACTCCTCTCCCTTTATGCCATACATTAATGGCCAGCATCTTATAAATTCAATCATATCTTAAGTGAAGGTTTTCTTATACATAATAAAAATGTTATAATGATTTTAAATAATTGCATCATTTTCAGATTAAAATATAAAGAATTTTTGTATTCAAATTTTATATATTAACATTTGTTCTTTATCTCATCTAAAAGTTATATATGAGATATGCATTTTATAAATGTTAAATTGATAAATAAGTCTTTATTCCTTTGTGTGATAAAATTAAATATTTATCTTTTGAATATATTATAAATTAAAAATTCTTATAACTTAGATTAAAAATAATTATATTTTTAAATCAATTTTATAAAAATTAAAAATCAACTTTTTTTAAAGGAAAGTAACTGAAGCAGCAGTTAATCAAATGAAAAAACTGTGGCATGTAACTAATATATATATGTATCCACATATACAGGAATATGCTGAAAAACTAACTAGTTATTTCCCTGGTGACCTCAAGGTTTGCAATTTTCTAAATATTAGTACAGTAATAATGCAAAAGAAAATAATTTTATGGTTAAAAATATTTTTAAACTGATAGCTTTTGTCTGTCTGTTTTTTTCTTGATACAAATTAAATGGTGTAGTTTTTAAGTAATTAATAAGTAAAACTTATGATTTTATTTTTAAAGTTGATTTATATTTATTTATAGAATAAAATTCTTTTATAAACAAATATAAATAAACTTTGAAAATATAATTAAAATTATTTGAAGTTTTAGATTGGGGTGAAATAATATTCTGTAAATAAAATACATTCATTTATAGAAAAATTTTAGATATTGCTTTTTGTTCTTGTTTATTTTACATATTAGGTAAGATTCAAGCTCTGAATGAAGGGTTTTGCATCTCCAGAATTGTAGACCCACTATATGAGCAAAAGAGTCAAAGGAACCATATCTATACATATATGCTTCCAAAGGTCAGTTTTTAACATGTATCAGTATACTGCTATTCTCCATGTTCTGCATTGTGGTGAGCCCCCACTTCTTAAAACTATATAACATCAAGTACTCCACAAACAGTCAAATGGGCTACTCAAAGCTGACATAGTCATGTAGGCTGAATAGTTAAATGCAATAGCAACTTGCAATCTCAAGTGACCTGATTTTGGGAGGCTGTATCTAATGAAGTGTAGCTTATAGAAGTATAGTTTCTTTGAATTTTTTGCTCCTATGGGTATGCTCTACATCTCTGATAAGATCCCACCCATCTCATTTAGAGCTTGAATTGTACCTTATATTATACCTATTCAAGAATTAAATATCAATCAATCAATCAAATTAAATATTAAAGTTTTATAAGGTTTAAAGATGTTTCATATGTATAAAACATTTACTAGTTTTTGAAAGAACCTATCAACTAGAATGTTTTAGTGAGTATTAACATCATAAGTATTATTATTTTTGATATTAATAAACTCTCATATCATATTTTGAGTAGATGTTTTGTAATTTAACACAAAAATTTTTGATAAATATTATTGACTTCTATGTTTAAATTTATTTAACAATAGATAATTAGGATGCAAATTTTAAATTAAATTTTTTATGTATAAATTTTTTCTTTAAATGAAAGTACAGTACATTTTAATCTAAAAATGTGCTTCAAATTTTATTATTAACATTGTTTTGAGCATACAATTTTATGCTTAACAACATTTTGATGAAAATAATTACTTAATAATTAAGTAATTGATATATTTTACTGTAATACAGTTTTTAATTTCATTGATTTAACATGCTTTTATATTTTTCTTCTGAATTTTTATATAAAATATTTTTGCTTTAAATTTTTAATTTCTTAATGTATAATAAATTTCTTTGCATTTTGATGACATACATTTATGTGATTGTCAGGGTTGCCACTCAGCTGGATTGACCAGCAATTTTAAATCAAGGTTGGCAGTCAGCAAAAATATTTAAGTGTCAGCAAAACAGTTTAAAATATAAATAAAATTACAGTATTTATTAATTTAAAAAAATGTTATTCAAAATTAATTTTAATATTCAATAAGTTTACTTATAATGATAAAAAAACTTTCTCGTAATTACGAAAGTTTTTATGATTTGTATATGGTGTTTCAGTACATTAAATTTTTAACATAATTCATGTGTTTGCTTGTGCTAAGTATCTCTTTGCCATTTTGAGTGTTAAAAATTGGTTTTTTCAGATGAACTAATTTAGACATTTGTCTGATTCATTTTCTCCTTGTATGTTCATGGCAGTGATGCACTTAGGATTTAATCTTGGTTGAAGCCAAATTAAACATATAAAAAATTTTTTATCTCAATTCAATAAAATTCCCATTTTATGTGACTGCTAATTCATAAATAGTTTAGAAGTAGAAGATACAACACAGTATAAACAAAAAAAAAGAATTTTAAAAATTTTCTAGTGTTTGTTTACCTTTTTTTTGGAAGGGGCCATGGTACCTCGGCACATTGATTCATGCAATTGTACATTTAAGAAAATCTGGCTTCAAGTAAATGAATTCAAAAATTAGTTAACTCGTGATGATGATGATGGTATTTTTTCAGCTTGTTGCATCATTTGCTGAACATCATTTAACGTTAAATGTGATGGAATTAAAGCATTTACAAGTCTGTGAGAAGTGTGGAAAAAGTGCATCATCTTATTTATTTTCCTTCTCCACCTCCTGGTCACTAAATCAGTTAGTAAAGCCAGTTTCCAAAGTGATTGTTATCATAAGACATTATGATAACAATCACTAGGGTTGCCTCCTTTGGTCTAACAATAAAAATATTCATTTTTTAAAGAAGTGATATTTCAATTACTTACAAAATTCAATTGGTTCATAAATCAGGAAGAAACTGTTTTTAATTTTGAACTTATTATCTGAAATTTAAGTAAACTGTATAATAATAAATTGGTTTGTGTAATTTGATTATCACATGCAACTACAGTCGACCCCCCTATAAGATAGAGATACGTTCCATTCTCTAGGAATCCGCTTTCTTACGAATCCTTCCAATCACAACCCGACACGTATCAAGTTTACGGACTACGGCTGTTTGAAAGATTTTCTTCCATAAAATTAATCGATTCTAGACTAATCCGACTCAACATTTCCAAAATACGTATATATTTTTTGGGAATAATCNTCTATGTTTAAATTTATTTAACAATAGATAATTAGGATGCAAATTTTAAATTAAATTTTTTATGTATAAATTTTTTCTTTAAATGAAAGTACAGTACATTTTAATCTAAAAATGTGCTTCAAATTTTATTATTAACATTGTTTTGAGCATACAATTTTATGCTTAACAACATTTTGATGAAAATAATTACTTAATAATTAAGTAATTGATATATTTTACTGTAATACAGTTTTTAATTTCATTGATTTAACATGCTTTTATATTTTTCTTCTGAATTTTTATATAAAATATTTTTGCTTTAAATTTTTAATTTCTTAATGTATAATAAATTTCTTTGCATTTTGATGACATACATTTATGTGATTGTCAGGGTTGCCACTCAGCTGGATTGACCAGCAATTTTAAATCAAGGTTGGCAGTCAGCAAAAATATTTAAGTGTCAGCAAAACAGTTTAAAATATAAATAAAATTACAGTATTTATTAATTTAAAAAAATGTTATTCAAAATTAATTTTAATATTCAATAAGTTTACTTATAATGATAAAAAAACTTTCTCGTAATTACGAAAGTTTTTATGATTTGTATATGGTGTTTCAGTACATTAAATTTTTAACATAATTCATGTGTTTGCTTGTGCTAAGTATCTCTTTGCCATTTTGAGTGTTAAAAATTGGTTTTTTCAGATGAACTAATTTAGACATTTGTCTGATTCATTTTCTCCTTGTATGTTCATGGCAGTGATGCACTTAGGATTTAATCTTGGTTGAAGCCAAATTAAACATATAAAAAATTTTTTATCTCAATTCAATAAAATTCCCATTTTATGTGACTGCTAATTCATAAATAGTTTAGAAGTAGAAGATACAACACAGTATAAACAAAAAAAAAGAATTTTAAAAATTTTCTAGTGTTTGTTTACCTTTTTTTTGGAAGGGGCCATGGTACCTCGGCACATTGATTCATGCAATTGTACATTTAAGAAAATCTGGCTTCAAGTAAATGAATTCAAAAATTAGTTAACTCGTGATGATGATGATGGTATTTTTTCAGCTTGTTGCATCATTTGCTGAACATCATTTAACGTTAAATGTGATGGAATTAAAGCATTTACAAGTCTGTGAGAAGTGTGGAAAAAGTGCATCATCTTATTTATTTTCCTTCTCCACCTCCTGGTCACTAAATCAGTTAGTAAAGCCAGTTTCCAAAGTGATTGTTATCATAAGACATTATGATAACAATCACTAGGGTTGCCTCCTTTGGTCTAACAATAAAAATATTCATTTTTTAAAGAAGTGATATTTCAATTACTTACAAAATTCAATTGGTTCATAAATCAGGAAGAAACTGTTTTTAATTTTGAACTTATTATCTGAAATTTAAGTAAACTGTATAATAATAAATTGGTTTGTGTAATTTGATTATCACATGCAACTACAGTCGACCCCCCTATAAGATAGAGATACGTTCCATTCTCTAGGAATCCGCTTTCTTACGAATCCTTCCAATCACAACCCGACACGTATCAAGTTTACGGACTACGGCTGTTTGAAAGATTTTCTTCCATAAAATTAATCGATTCTAGACTAATCCGACTCAACATTTCCAAAATACGTATATATTTTTTGGGAATAATCCGTATAAACTACGCTATAAACAAAAAATTGTAGGATTACTTACCGAGTGTCACCATTCGACATT